CACACACACACACACACACACACACACACACACACACACACACACACACACACACAACACACACAATCATTTTTTGTTTGTCTTTCTTTTTTATTTTCTTTCTTCATCTGTTTTCTATCTTTCCTTCTCCATTTTTTCTGCGAGTACCTTTTGCCTGCCTAACTGAGCACCTCTAAGTTGTGCCAAATAGTCGGTCATTCCTCGTTTGGAGTTGGAGTGCCTGTAGCACTTGTAGGGGGGCTGGTCAGTTCAGGATGTCCTCCTACGGGTGATGACGGTCGTTCATCAGAGTGAATCATTGGGTCGGCGGGTAGTGGGAACCAACAGGCTGTGGCGTTTACTCGTGATGTGAGTAGGTGATGACCTGCTTTGCTCCGTGTTGGATGTGTGGACTGCTTTGTCTATGCTCTGCAGCTGCCTTTGCATGCCATCCCGCTTGCTCCCCATGTCGTTCTTTCCTGCTGGTGTGATGCAGTGTTGTTTGGTTGCATTGTTGGTATTGCCGTGTACTTCGCTGCATCGTTGCTTGCTGCCCATCCACGTGCCTTGTCTTACCGTGCACATCGCTTGTGTGCCATGTGGTGTGACTGCTCTGCCAGTGCCGCCATGTGCTTCACTGCGTTACTGCCTTGCTGCGTGTCCGCCTGCACTTTCAGTTCATGTAGTTATTGTCCGCGCTGTGCAGCCCCCGGAGTGTTGCCTGGTCCTTCGACGAGTCATTGTCTACTGCTATGTTCCGCTTGTAGTGTTGCCTGCTGGCAGTCTGCTCTCGACTATCTGCAACATCCCCAAAGGGTTCTTGGGTTCATGACCCAAAGCATCGATATGGGGCATTGGTTATGTTGCAGATAGTCGAGGGTTCAGACTCCTGATGAGAAGGAAACAATGTTATGTTGTTTAAACTTTAAACTTTAAACGCTTTTGCCCTTTCAAAGAACACATAAACGTAACATCAGGAATCCATGTTATGTTGTTTTAAGTTTTAATGCTTTTGCCCTTTCGAAGAACACGTAAGGGTAACTTAATGGACTAGGCATCCATTAAATTTGCGATTGGATTTTCTTTTTTTCCAATTTTGCTGCTTTTTGCATGTAAATATAATCTACCAAAGATTTATTCAAGTTGTCACTTCAGGACCCCTTTCCTGCGCAGGGGCGAGGTCCCCGCCAGCAAAGAAGATCAAATTGAGTGCCTGAATCTGGATGTGTTTTATGCGGATATGGGGACAAGCAGACCGATTGCCATTTTCTGCACCCTGTCCATGAGCATGTCCAGATTCAGGCATTGAATTTCCAATCCTCTTTGCTAGTGGGACCTTCGCCCCGGAGGCAAATGGCAAATGAGTTGGGTGTGATGTTTCCCACGAGGGCAAACACACAGCGAGTCAGTTCATGCAGAAGATGAACACACAGATAAGATCAACAACTTCACGCTCACAAACGTCAAACGAGACTTTGGGGGACATCAGGCCTCTGCATTTGGTCCTATTTCCAGGCTGAATTGTTTGGGTTCCTCTCCACTTTTTTTTTTTTTTTTTTTTTTTACCAAGGAACAGGGCCTTATGGTCCCGACTCCTTCCATTCTGGGGAGCGACAGTCCGGTTCCTATTCCACCGGCAAGTCAAGGCATGATACATCACAGCAACCAACTCACGCTTCCTCCCGTCTGGCCGGAGGACCCCTGAACAGCATTGATTGCTCCACGTTGGGTGGAGGATTGACTGTCAGCTTGCCCAGAG